TAAATACCTCTATTTGTTCTGCTACAGGCTGTTCAAATACATTTGCCAGTTTCTGTAGAATGATATATTTGTTGTCAGCCAGTGATGTAAGCAGCACCTTCAGATCATTCTGCGGAGAGAAGCAAGAGACAGGCTCATCATGTGTAACAGGAAATTCAAAGGCTTCGTCAATATCAGATTCTTAGAAGTTACAGTGTAGGTGTTTAATTTCCAGAAAAACACCACAAACACTACTGCTCTATGGGAAGGTAACAATTTACCCACGTGCTGAAATTTACTTTCAAACAAGTTGTTACACAAAGTGTTTTCCACCTCATAGCAATGGAGTGGTAGAATTCCAATGAAAAGCAGTATGATCACTCTAATCTTGCAAGGTTTGAATGAAATGTGCACATTCAAGAATTTTCTAGTAAAAAGAAACAAATAAACAAAAGTAACTCAGGTTTTATCTGGATTTGGGAAAAAACTATAATTCTGAAAAATATTATGATTCTTTTTTTCCTGCCGCCACTCCCTCCTTCCCTCTCTTTTATTTTGAAGGAATTTGCACAAGCTTATAAAATGCTATCCATGCATTTATAAAATAAATGTTACCCATGTAACCAAAAACCTCAATGAAAGAACAGCACAAAGGGAAATTAGCTAAGCCTACTATTGATAAATATGACTCATTAAAATGGCCAAATATAATTATGTCATGTTACATTTGTACAAAAAGTAATGATTAGAATTCTGGAACCCAATTTAAAAGGGAATAATAACTGGAAGGAAATTTAAATTTGAAAACTTATTTTTCCCCTGAAATATCAGGAAATATGCTCTATTTCTTGTACATGTATACACATATGTGTGTATGCGATGGACTGGCTGATCCTCAGAGGCTGAACTTCCCCTCCTGCAGGCTGATCACACACCAGGGCATGACCTAAGTGCTAAAGTTCTGTGTTATGAAGAGAAGAATAATCACACCAGGGCGACTTGAAAGTGACTAGAAATAATACAACATGTGAGGCTACAAAGCAAAATAACAGTGGGTTATGCAGCTGAAAAGAAATCAGAATGGCATTCAAGCAATGACAGTGAGAATTAGTGAGCAGCACATAACCATAACCGGTAACAGTTGTCACTAACTAAACTCAAATCAACCTGTAAGGCTCGTGGCAGACAACATAGGAAGCTGTAATGGTAGCACTGGGAGAAGAATGCCAGAAACAAGAGTGTTCATACGAATTATGACAATGTTCGCATTATTGATCTGCGTTCAGGGTGAGGTC